AGTGGCTAAATGTTTTAAAAAGTGCTCCTTGATACAGAAAACCATGCTTAGTAATAACTCATATCTACGGTAGAGTTGAAGCCTCAACTTAGAACCACACAGATCTGGTATTAGATAGCATCACGATAAAGTGGTGTTAATTTTAAAACCATGTTGTTTCTTACTTGCTACACAAGACTACTGTAGACCGTTAACAGACCTAGTTAACAGGTCTGCCATGCAGTGTTAATTCCAAAGTAATAGTTTCCTGTGTTAACAGCCACAAAACTATATTGCTATTGTTTACTTATTATGGGGTTCCTGGCGGTTGTCCAATCAGCACACAGTTTAACGATATCAGCCAATCAGCTGCCAGTATCGGTTAAACTCGCTTCATTGTATTAGTATTAAGAGTTAGGACTAAACAAAAGTTTTACGCTTCAGCACGCTCAGTGACACGTGCCAAAAGTAACTTGGACACGTTTTGGTAAAAACATCTCCGAGGTTAAAACTTAGCATACCTGGACACAATACCACATTTCTGTCCTACTATCAACCGGGGATCTGAGTTAGTAAAGTTCAAGTCCGCGCTATTCATTTAATTAAGTGTGTTTCAAAGTGTAGCGGCTGCAATGTGAATGCTGTAAAAGTATTTAGAGTTTAAACTCTTAACTCGGATGTTTTTACTTTCGGCTCGTGTATCCGAGTGTGTTGAAGCGTAAATTGTAACCGATGTGCCCGCACTAGTATTCGCAGAGTCATCATACAGTTTACAAAAACGTATCCCCTTTAGGTAGGATCCAGGCTGTACTTAGCACTATATCTCCTGATATTGTTACATGTATCCTGATATTGTTACTTTGCGGATATCAAAGCAATGTGATAATGCACGACACATGGTACCGACATGAACACACTTGCACTTAACGTCCGCACCATGTATTATAACTATATCTCCCTACGTCACCGATATCTCCTGTCTCCACTAAGTATACCTAACTATAGCACTAATCATTGTGATGTCATATCTACCCTGTCAATCGTGGCCTGCATAGTTTTTAAGCCACGAAATTGCACTGTACCTACAAATTCCCAAGAGCCCACAAAATCACGTATAGTACCTCAGTTGGAACTGGCTGAGCTAAGAACCCCGCTCTGAAATGCCGTCATACTTCACATATAACATTACCACATCACTGCTCAGTTTACCACCCTAACAGTTCCCAGCTGTTGTAGGAACCAGATCTATGAACCAACAGTTTGGTTTGGTTTGGTTTCAAGAGCTTATACTTGCCACGTATGTCCAGGTTCATTATAATAATGCAGGACTTCTAGGCAATGAGCTTGGTTGTGGGACACACTCAACTAGGGAAGTTGAGAGGCCTCAATCAAGTCTCATTAAAGAGATATCAACAGAGTGTGAACCACTGCCAGACTTACCTTTGATTAGAGTTTGCCAGGCTCTATAAGTGTGGCAGATAGTGTCTTCTTTGTCCTATCCTTTGTCCGTGATGCTGGTAACAAACTCTTGTTGCAGGTGATGGTGACATAAACTCATTTGCATGATTGGGACTAGAGATGGGTCGATTGTGAAGTGTGCTATATACTTATATAAATAGGTAGTTGTGATAAATAGTACTGCTCAGTACCGTAATTATAAAACCATTATCTGAAAACTTGTCTCAACATAGAAGATCTAAATGACATGAGGTCTAAACTGGGTCGATTAAAAGTGAGCTACAGATTAGCGGCTGGGAAAAACAAAGAGATGGAGATTAGTGATTAATACAGGTAATCAGTACAGGTGCTGAGTGAACGTATGACAGACCGTAAAATCGGAAGATTAACTGTTAATGACTAAAACACCCTAGAATTAAGTGCCACAACCATGAGGTTATAAAGTAAAGAGGGTCTATATAGACTACTAGAAGATAATAAGTGGGCTGAAGCTAATAACTGGTTAACTTGTCGCAATAGAGAATGAAACATATCACAACAAAGAGGGACAAATTGTCGAGAAAAATAAAGTATCCGGTAAATATCACTATGCTGAGTAACTCGTGATGTAGCCACGTGTTAAGAATTCCTCGTGTAGGAGGAGGTAGAATAAATAAAGTAGTGCAGGTAATTATCACGATGCTGGGTAAACGGACAGTGAAAACAAGGAGAGAAGGGTTACTAATGGCTTAAACACTAAATGCAGACTAATGAGAGTGAAGTGCTAGGCACAGAGTAAGGGAAAATTAAACTACTAAAGATAATAAGTGGGCTGAAGATATTAACTTGAAACATGTCGCAATGGAGATTGAAACATATCACTAAAAGAGTGTGCACAATATGAGATCCGAATATATTGAAGAATGGGGAAAACAGTAATAGTGGGATAATTATAGTGGTAAAGAGTTTACTAGAGAGTGGTCCACAAGGAGGTTACGTGGGAGAGGTTGAGGTGCATGCTGTGATGGGTGGTCAAGAGCTGTCCAGCCAAGTTTATATGGCCTAAAATAAACACACAAAGCCTACAATAGTAGTTAAGGAGCCGCCACACTGCACTTGGCCAGGCAAGTGAACGAGGAGAGATCAGTGCAGTACGGCAACATCAAAAGAACGTTTTGAATTACAGTTCAATGGTAGGCAGGGCTAGGTAGCAGCACTTTAATCACTGAGAAGAAGTCCGAAAGAAGGCCTAATTTAACATTGTTTTTAATGTGCACCGTAGTTGTGCTGTTATTCGATTGAATGTTTACACTGTGCAAAATGAAGTCATCTTCCAGTGCCTAGCTGTAAAAAAAATGCTACGTGCGCGGGAGTGTGTGAACAAAAATACGGCACTAACTAGCGAGCATGAGCAAGGGAAACAGGACTCAGTCGAAAAGGAGCCCTACACTAGTGTTTGTGACACTAAGGGGAGCGCACGCGAGAGTAAAGAGGGCTAAAATTTAAGCAAGCAAATGCGCGAGCAATAAGACTCTGCCGACTTAAGTTGTAAAATAAGTGACCAAAACAGAATCTAAATTAGAAGTATATCGGATATACTATATCCATATGTTAAAACTTAAAGGAGTAGCAGGTTACCAGCTGATGAGAAGGGTGCTGATGAAAATGTAAGATGACAGATAAAAGAAAGGTGATGGCATGAGTAAAGTCATAGTAAAACGTCAGCGCAGAGAAATAGTAGATGAATTTATAAAGTAAAAGCTAAAAACTTAGAAGAGGATCATGGTTAATAATTAGTTAAAGAGTGGCAGGTTACCAGCTTTAGAGAAAATGCTTTAGTTGAAATGCTATTGAAGATGAAAGATTGCAAATAAAAGAACGTTGAAGACGTAAGTAAAGTCATAATAGATCGTTACGTAAGTAGTAAAGTCATATTAAAACTTACGTAAGTAAAGACATATTAAAACTTAAGCGCAAAAGGAATAGCAGATGGGTTTATTAATGAAGTGATACGCCAAACCCTGATCTGACAACGTGATGTTTCCGTTACGTTGGTGTAATCGAAGTTGCGTCGGTATAATCGGAGTTGAAGTAGGGCTGAGCTGCCTTGAGTGTGCTGCTTGCTGCATGCTGGTATATCGTTTCCATCCAAGGTATAGGGGACGGGGTCTATAACTTTATTGAACTAGCCAAAATATCCTCTATGAACCAACAACTCGCTAGAGTGCGTGTCTTATCTCACCCCAGCTGTATTGCATTACAAGTAATTATGAGTGTTATCGGGCCGCCTGATTCGCTGAGACTTGAGTATGCAGTGTCCCTGAAATACAGTTACGCGACATCTCATATTCCTGATAATATTAATAGTGTCGCCCTCCTTTTTTTTCCGGAAAAAACTGAAATTATCCGGTCGTTTTTTTTTGTTCTCATGTCATCATCAATGGAAAAGGGAAAGTCACCCCTGGATCTAGGCTATTATTATCAGTAGCATGTTCAAACTAATTAGACCGACTGAGACTTCTAAGTTTTCTTCCCCAATTATCTAATTTCTCCTGTACAATGGTTGGCGCGAGAAAGTGCCCTCTACTTTTTGTAAAAAGTACATTACGTAATGCGTATACAGGATGATTATAATGCAATGATTGGTGACTGAGAGTGACAGGTTATTTTGGTTGATGGCGCCGAAAATATAGAGTAACAAAAAGTAGAGTTGTTGCTGTCTCCATTATTGGTTAGGATTGATTGCGGAGTAAAGTAAGGAATTGACAAGGCGTGACAGCTTACTGTAGGTAATAAGGTCACGTGACTGCAGGTAATAAGGTCACGTGATTGAGAATGTTTGACACGACTGGAGAGAGTTTGGGGGGAGATTATTAGATTTAAGTGGCGAGATGACTGGTAGTTACCAGTTACTGAGATTACTGACACCTTCTTGGAGCTTTAGCTCGCCCTCACAACTAAATTTGAAGACTGAACTCTCCAGAATGAACTCCAGAAACACCCATAGAAACACTCTATAATCACCTCACTCCACTCAAAAACATAACATTAAACTGCGAATACAATCAGCACGCAGCTGTTACTGCTACTGCTGTTAAAACCATCCATCATAGCCAGTCAATATTATTTCACGGTAAAACAGTAGAATAATGAAGTGTGTGGCGTTGCTGGCTTTTAACCAGTTCAGTTAAAAGTGAGGCGTGCATGATGTTTGTTAGATATCTCTACTTAGTAGCGAGGGCGTGTCCATGTCAGATCGGACAAAATATCTGAAATAGTTTTGTCAAAAGTACTGAGGGTGTTTTGTTAAAAGACTGGAAAATTCCATTACTGTGGTTTCCTGTACTATTGTTCAATTTCGATCACATACACTTTCCATAACACAAAAAATCGTAAATAAATTCTGGTTTGCAGTTCTCATGGGATACCAATTCCGTTTTAAAATCAATTCCATTGCTGGTAGAGTTGCGTGTCCTGATGATATGGAATACCGATCAAGCTATGAGTTATGTTAATTAAATCTAAGATATTCCAACATTAAATATAAATTCTAAAATTCCAACTAATTTAATACTAAATTTCAGGCTGTTCAGATTGTAGACAATATCGGCGGCCAGGAGCTAATTTCTCAAGTGTGGTGACATATCAAAACTCCATCATTGTCGGCGGCAGGTAAGAATTACTTTGTTTATTTTGTAAACATTTAAAAAATATCGCAAGTATCCAATGAATTATTAATGATAAATACCCACAAAGAAATTGGTGCTCAGTCTGCTCACCACCCCATACACTCATGACACTCAGGATCAAATCAACACTCATCACTATAATATCAACAGTCAACTCATCCTGTAATGGTTAGCCATTTCCTAAACCCTTTCACTGAAATCTCCTATATTATGAAATCGATAACGAACAGTCGTATTTGGCTCAAATTATTCAATAAGCGATCAGATTTAAATCGACTGATAAAATCATTTTGAACAATGATTTGGAATGTTTACATGGCTCTGTCCTGTGATGTATACCATTCCCTGCTCCTTTGTAAACAATCTCAGTCCACAGACCACACTAGTCCAGCAGATATAAGCTGCAGAATTCACAGTTTTGTGAGATACTATTGTCCTTCTAAGGGTACAGTCCCCTTGGTGTGGTTTAAAAGCTGGTCTGGACTCTGATTGTTCCCACTCACCAGTCTCACAAGTCTGCAGTATTGTTCCAGATCCTTGGTCTAGTCTAATAACTCATTAAGAGCAAGTTTAAAACACTGTTAAACATTTGAACCAGAGGATTTAAGGCATATGTCCAGTCCTGGTGTATGATGATGCTGGGAGGTTCAGTCCCGAACTATGGTTAATGACAGTGCCTGATATTTTAGATTTTATAGTGGGACGCATTCTTGCGTAGCACATGAACCCAATAACCATTTCTTAATCTCTGCAAATTGGCCGGTACATGTTGTACAAACAAAATATTCAATTAAGAGTAGACACTAGACATATACGGCTACATGGCCTCTGGCTACTCAGCATTGCAACATACCGTTAACTCTGAAAATTGTTACAATGGACGTGACCTGATCTCAATTTGACCGAAGTAACTCAATGATGGCTACCCTGGAATTGCATTAGAGTGCTGACTCCCTTATCAAAGCTTTTAAAATAGTAATATTTGTCATTATAATGACAGATACCATGCTCCCTTTCTGTCCGTATCTAACTCTGATAATGATATCATCTATATTCTATATGACACGTCATCGTGACGTCACAGAAAACGACGTCAGATCGATAGGAAAACTTTCTAATTTTGCTTTTCCTTGTGGTTGGAAGTCTAGACTTGGTGGATCCTTACCATGAAGTTACCTTGAAGTAAAGTGAGTGGTTGATAGTGCGAGAGTAGCACGGGAAAAGTGCGGTGAAAACTATAAGATAGGTGACAGGCCGGGGACATGCTGTCTCAACAGTAATGGATACTGTGTCTTTAGTCTCATGTCTACAAGCTGTGACCGATAACTTCAATTCCCATTTCCACACCGAAATTCTCAATATCAGCAATATGAAGTTCCGTTAATACGGTATTCGAGATAAAATATGCGTACTATAAAATGGTAAAATACGGGGAACCTGTATTGTTACAATGGACTATCATGAAACCCAAGATCTATATATTTTCACATTTCATCGAGTTTGAGTACTTCATCTTCACATGGTGTTCCGTTTCAAGCCCGGCTATAATTCCATGAAAAACACGAACTAACAAATCGCCACTTTTTACTTGTTACCTTGACATGGAACTGTGAGAAAGAAGTGTTTTCTTAATCCGTGTGTGATCACAGGGGGGGGGGGGGGGGCTGTGTGAACAATGTGTATTGTTGTCTGGTAGTAATGTGATCCTCCCTGCGAAACACCACCACCGGCCTCTACTTCTCCCGTTATGTAACTTGCTATTTGTAAATATATAGTAAACAATCCACATTTATAAAAGATTCGATTGTTTGATGTGAAATTTGTTAACTGAGCTTTTATCGGGATTCTCAGCTGTACAAAACATAAATTCGTTAGTCAACGGCTCTATGACTCTGGGATTCTGGGATTCCTTCTCAAGTTTAAAACGTAATATAAAAGTGTGGGATGTGTCGGTAATACGAAATATCACTTTTAGGATTTTCCGGTGAAGATGAAATTTGAGGGGGATTAAATATCACGAGGTTTCATGAACGCCGAATCATTTGAATCAACGCCTGACTGATTTCACAGGAAATATTGTACTATTAAATTATAACATTATAAAGTGGAGAGGGGCAGCTGTCACAGAATTTGTTATGGCTGTCACTTTCACGACAAATTGCTTATCAAGCCCATTAAAATCAATCTGAGTAGTGTCACAGAAAGTAATGCCACTGTGTTTAACTGTTTACGGTATAATGACTTTGAAGAATCGAGGAGCATTTTATCGAGCAAGTAAGAGAGAGGTTTACTGAGGTCCAAAATGATGGCTCAGAATACACCATTCTTATTGAGATTTCAATGTCTGGGCTCGGGTCAAGATTCGAGGAATTTGAGCGGGATTGGGTATTGTGCTGTACAATAGCTTTGTCTGAAAAAAAATGTAAGATCATGGCATGAGTCTGAAGGGTGAATGATATCTCTCCCTACATTTACCACGTCATACCCTGCGGTTTTGACAGATCAGGCCTGTTGCTCAGAACCTTAAAAATATTTGGAATTTGATGATCAAATTTGGGCGGATCTTGTAAATCTGGTTCTAACTTCAAGCTTTAGGGCGGGTACTTGGTACTAGTTACATAACCAGTGGTTAAGTAGGGCAAAATGTTTGTGAAATTAGGGCAAATGATCAGGCGGGGGCGATAAGGAGGTGGTGACAGAAAACAACTCGTTAGAGAACTGTTACCTTCACTTTCTATCGACTACCAGTCTCTGGAATAAGGTCGACCAGTCTGTCAAAAACTTATCTTGAGTGCTCTTCGATTTGGGATGGATAACTCAATGTTCTCTCTGGTTTGAGCCCTTCAACTTGCGAATTGTTTTGGTTGAGGCACTGCGTTTACAGTGATGAATTGGTAGTTACACCAAGAAATTTACAAATTATCTTTCAAAACGTCACGAGAAAGAATTCTACGAAATTTACATCTCTCGCCATCTAATACGCTAATGGCATTTTCATTTCGATCATCAAAGAAATTCATTTCAATTTTGTACAAATTGTAATGTCTTTTGAGAAGCTCAAAGTACTGCAGTAACCTTTGAAGAAAGGTTGAGAAAGGAGCACAGTGCACCTTGTACCCTCTGAAATGAACCAGGCACACAGTGCGCTTTGTGACGGTCGCCTGCCAGTCTGGTGGTAGCTCGTTAACTGATCACAAAATTCAAACATCACATTATCCACGCCAAATAGGGTACACTAATACAAAGCATTGCCCAATTACCTTCAATTACCTCCGGCTTACCTCCAGCTCGGCTTACGTCAAAAAGTTGGCACAAATACGTGGTGGTCGGTGGGAACACCTTATCTGTTCAAACACTCGCACTCCTCACGTGGTTGCCTGATAATTATCACATGATCGTTCACACTTCACAGCAACTTCCAGACTTGTTCAGAGTTTTAATGGCAGCTTGTTAGGGGCTTGTTGAAGTCGTCTGGGGACGTAAGGATTCTATTCTGGGGCGTGCCTGATTCAGGGACACATCATAATACTTCACCGATTTGTCGAGGGGGCAAATTTGGCGAGGAAATCGAATTGTGGGCCGATTTCAAGCCTTTGTACCCGGGTGATTTCCAGTAGATCTCGAATTGTGGGCCGATTTGAAGCCTTTGTACTAGATCCCGGGTGATTTCCAGTAGATTTCTTTGATCTACCAGAGCCAGAGAATGGTTAACTTTGACACTTGTAATGGACTACATGGCTGCTTGGATCCTCTTAATTTTTGCGGTAAATGTGGCTAATGTGGTTAGTCGTATGATAATGGAGAGTCATGCTTGGATTAATAGGATGTTAGAAGTCGAATCAGAACAGTCTGCTGTCGGAGTAGCTACTCGTCAAGTTTTATGCCAGAACCTACTTACACACGTAAAGATGAAGAGCCACCATCAAATTTCTAGACAAAAACCAGCCACAATCATCCTAAAACACAAGGACGTGAATTATGGAAAATTAAAATTACGTCTGGCTGGTGTCTGTTAGTTTTTAAAAACTGATAAATATGGTCGCTCGTGTTTATTATTAGGGCGCTGAATTTCCCATATCATCTGTTAAAAATACCTCGTAGATAACCTAGCATAATATTTTATTGCACGCCATGTTATGGAAGGGATAATATTGAAGGTTTTACCACAGCTTTTTAGGCACAGTGTAGGCTTCCTTCGTGCAACGTCCTGGAAGTAAAACATCTGTACGATCAATGAATTTATTAAAATATGAAACCAAGATAAAATATAAACCCATACCCTGATCCCAACAGAAAAACTCTCTACATTTCATGTTCAGAGCCCGCTTAGTTCCACAGTTTCTATCCGCCGACAGGTCAGATTGTACTAACAATAATAATAGTGGGTGTGTACTGTCTGTCTGTTCAGGAAGTGTAAACATGAGCGGGGTGAGCTGCCTCCCCACCTCGTAGTAGACACGACTCTACAATACACTCTCTACACTCTCTACACTCTACACTCTCTACACTCTCTACACTCTCTACACTCTCTACACTCTCTACACTCTCTACACTCTCTACACTCTATACACTCTACACTCTCTACACTCTCTACACTCTCTACACTCTCTACACTCTCTACACTCTCTACACTCTCTACATTCTCTACACTCTCAACACTCTACACTCTCTACACTCTCTACACTCTCTACACTCTATACACTCTACACTCTCTACACTCTCTACACTCTCTACACTCTCTACACTCTCTACACTCTACACTCTCTACACTCTCTACACTCTCTACATTATCTACACTCTCAACACTCTACACTCTCTACACTCTCTACACTCTACACTCTACACTCTCTACACTCTCTACACACTCTACACTCTCTACACTCTCTACACTCTCTACACTCTATACACTCTCTACACTCTCTACACTCTCAGAGACTGAGCCCCACTCTCTACACTCTCAGGGACTGAGCCCCACTTAGAGTATCAGAGTGTGTGTGGTTAACACCTACTGAATGTGAGAGTAGACCAATTTTGAGGACTGTGTTCAGTGTTGGACAGTTTTGCTTGATCACTCAAATCAGGGGTCTGACCATTGTTGCAATGTATTCATCTGAGACAACTACAATTCATAGAGTAAGTCACAGTCAGGGAGGCGGGGTGGCTTAATATTTCTGATTATTCTTCATAATGTTCTAAGAGAGAGGCCCCTGTGTGCTGTTTGAACAATCCCAATTAATTATCTCCACTCCATCTCTTCAGCCAAAACACTCTAATTTCTTGATTGGCTACAACCTTAAACTCGCCCCGGTATTGGCTGAAAATGATCACGTGGTGTGATGAACCTACACGTGCAGCTGCGCGGCTCAGTTCCCATACAAGATAAGATTGGGAGCCGGCTTGCTGCTTGTTTACTGAAGTACACCACTTCTAAGTTATGATATTACAGATATTGTTTTGCAATCTTCTAATCACGTCTGAAATTTATTGGTAGAAGTGAGACCACTCAAGTACCTTGTACGGTATTGCTTGATGAACAACAATTTCTCACGGTACCAAGTAAAATAGACCTTCGTCGTGGTGTCGGAGGACAGACCGACAGTTCCGCGGAGTAATCCGGTGATGAAATATCAGCCTTGATGGTTATCACCTGCCTAAATTTGTGCAGGGTTATCCGGTGACCGGTGTGTTCTAAAATCATTGATCAGGTGTGTCTATAATTAGGGATCAGGATACTTAAGATCGTCAGCTTTTTGACAAATCAAGAGTCAAGATCATTTTAATTTTACTCGAATGCGGGTATTACAAGATGCTAATAACAATTTAATTTGTCAAGCCTACTAAAATCAGGGGCTTGTTGTCGGGCTTCAGAAAATCTTGATTAAAATGTTAAGCACTTGAATAACTCGACATTGTTTATAATGAGAGGGATCACACCAATCCCAGCTCGTCTTAAAACCACGTGACAAGTTTCACCCAATGACCTTTCAAATAGTTACACCACGTGACTGGGAAACTCGTCCCGTGAAGTGGGTAGGGACTCCTGCGTGCCCTACCGTAATAACCCTGGACAAAGATCAATTGTTGTGATAGTTTGGTCTATTTAGGACCAGATAGGAAACCCACATATCAAGTTATTAACGTAGTCAGGTCAAGGTAACTCCACGGTAAGGTGTTTATTCTCATAGTTCCTGCCTAGCTGGATAATAGACATGATAAGTATCCCGTATCTTTATACGCCCCACTTTATCAATACTTCTAGGATGGAAGGTTGGATTCGAGTCTGTTCCCAGTCTCATGGATAACAGTTCTTATGATCGAGTAGTCACAAAGTATTAAAAATGGCTCCACGATTCGGCATACAAATATGGGGAGTTGCATCTTAATATATGAGTGGAGCAAAATCAGTAAATAGGTGATAGTCTTGGTTCCTATGAGAAATTTCTATCATAATCATCTCTTTGACGTTTTAAATGGATGATTCTCAAAGTAAAGGCAAGGTGGCCATCACAACACCGATGTCATCCATTTCTCTCCAATACGAACAGTCCTGCACAAGTCTTTGATGTCGGTTGGCTGGTATAAATTCAGTCCCCAGATTGCAGAGGATGCCATTTAGACTCCACGTTTTAGCGAAACGTGTCCAAAATGTCTACAAATCCACCCTTTTCTTTGATTTGAGTGATTCCACGATCGACCACGTGACAATTTCCAAGTCACGTGACCAGTAGATCTGGCACGTGACACTAGATTCTTTGTGGAGCGTGCGGGCAGGAGCAGACTGGGATGTTATTTACTGTTATAGTGCCGAATACTCGGTGTTTTGCAATAAACATGGCTGCACGTGGTTGCCGGGGAGTAGCTTCAGGGCCCACATCGCATGCTCGCCTATTTACAATATCTCTGGACCAATAAAACTGTTTATTGAAGTACTGAGTACCCCGAGCTCTTGGGGTTTTTAGTGGTAGTAGAGCCGTGTAATTAGACCGTATGGACCGTTTTAAAACCAATAAAGTTTAGCTGCTAAATAGCCCTGGGGGACAAAGTTGAGGTGATCACGAGTTGGGGCGAGTAGGTACAGGTTTTAGTAAAAGTCTTGAAGTCTGGAGTCTCAGTCATACTACGGGTTGGTTTTATTCGTCTGGGAAATTTTAGTTTTAATAAATGTTCAAAAATTTAATATATCATATGAACAGTAATAACACAATTTGTAAAATTTGCTGCCAATATAAGTCTTGACATCATATGCTGTTTAACGGTGTTACACGCAAACAACGTAATAAAATGGAAACCACAAAAGTGCCCCCGTGTCTGTCACACAGTCGTTTAAAAATAAATTCGTCTATCGTGAATTGGGCAGCAAAAACTCAATTGAGCTACACCTAGTTGTAAACGTGCATTAAAACTGTCACCACTACGACATACTGCGGTCTTCATCATTACTCAAAAACTTCATCATTGCCCGAAAAGCACTCTATCTCTCATGTCGACATGTCATCAAACTTCAAAGTTTTTTATTTGCTATCTATAATTTCCTAAAACTAACTTACTTCCAGGAACGCACTGTATGACCTGAATTTTAAAGGAATGAACGATAATGTCTATCACGACAAGGTTAGTCTAATTGTTTACCTAAAGGATCATGCACTTGAGGGGACGAGTTAGATTGGGGGAAGTAAAATGCAGTTTCCTATCTAATCAGTATCATTCTTTTAACTAAAGATCCGCAATCTTTATTTATTCAACACGTTATTGTTTCTGTGCAAATTGGTGACAAGAAACTTTCGTCTTCTTCTAAACGGGTTATTGCGCAATCAATTTCATTGCTTTACAGCGTGATTGCATTAAACTGAAATTTCTGTGAAACTCATCCTTTTCACTTCGTGATGAGTTTTGATGCGCATTTGGGGCGTATCTTCTTATCTAATCCAATGTGAAGCAATGTCATTACCCAAGTTCATTGATGAATTCTATCCGTCCTTTGAAGGTGCATCTCGTACAGCTCCCGACTATATAAAACCCCCAGTAAATATAACAACTGTTATAAGTTATGTTGGAATGGTCACTCTGTTAAACAAGATGACAAAATATCTCCAACTGAAGCACGCAAAATAGGGAATACCTTTTATGTTAGATCATATCTGCGTAAACATAGATAAGGCTTACTTTCTGACCTTGGTAGTTTTCCGTGTAGTTTTAACAGTAAAAATAACTGTTAGCGATAGAAAAATTAGAAAAAAACTCTTTCACAGTTAAAAATATCCCTCTAAGTGTAAGTTAAACCGATAATGTCGTCAGTGACACTGGTCACGTGACAGTTTTCTCTCCAACATTTCTCCTCAAAATACTTCTTGACACTGTCATGTTTGAAGGTGTGAACAGCAGTGTGAAACAGGTGGTTAATTAAACTACATCTATCAGTGGATACTTTCACTGCCGCATATTACATAACATCTAGCTCCACAAATGACACCTGCTTTGAGCTAGTTCCGCCACCAAATTCACAAAGGTAAGTTAGTTTTATTGCTAGAAATTCGGCCAATGATTGTAACTCTGTGAACGGTTACTATTGGTTCGGGCCACCAATTTGCCCTTGGAATCCAATAGTTTGACCGATTGGATGACGAATGTTATCATTAATTAACAGTAAATAGATAAATTAACACTACTCGCTCGGCCGCGTCAGATTCATTATTTATTGCCTCTCTCTCTCCGCGGTAACGTGATAATATAATGAATCTAGATGTGAATCTGAATTGCTGAATGCTGATATATCACTCCATGGTTTGCTGGTTCAGACTGCAATTTTCACCACGCAATTTCCACGCAACCAAATCAATCAGAACTATTTTATAATCCTCGACTACTTCCTCGACTAATGTGAGAAATACACGGTATTTTGAAATAATGAAACACCGTATTATGGAGGTTTAAGTTCTAAACGTCAAAATGAGATTCTACTCTGAATTTTCTTGCACGTTTTTCGACACTGAGGGAAGATTTTACCTACAGAGACGCTAAAAGCTTCCAATGATATTGTAGCCAGGATGATAGTAGTGAATGGTAGTTTAGCTCACCTCGCAGTAGTATTTGGTGATGTGAATGGTTAAGTAGCTTACCTGATACTCAATAGATAGTGTTATGGTCTGAGATAGTGTGTGTTCAATGTCTACTGTAACATCAGAACTCTTACAACAGTCGCCAAACTGATAGTCGCCAAGGTGTATGTTTAATTCTCTCTTTTTTCCTTCTTGTCTAATCACACTCCCTCTCTGTTGTATGATTTCGATTTTCATTGAAATATCAAACACTCCACGGATACAAAATGTATTGTGGCTAAAAGGCATCGGTCACAAATTCTCTGGAATTGTACCCTAGTTTTATCAGATTGCACATAGTTTTGAACTATTTTAAGGTGCCATGCCAACTGCCAAGTAGCGGCTACTAGGGTTATCGGTGTGTAGAAACGAAGTGGTGAAAGACAAGGTCTACCCAATCAGACATGCAGTGCTCAGAGTCCTGGTGTGTCAGGCCTGTTATCTGTCCAATTAGTGGGTGTGTGACGAGACTGCAGTTATCTCGGAACCCAATCAATGCGTGTGATACTGTTAGTTGCTCAGTTGCTGGAGTAGAACTGTGATTGACAGGCCTGCTGTGTAAAGATATATGCTTGCCAAGTGTTCTTAGAGTTTCACATTATCATAACTGATCAGTGACCACACAAGTAGATTTCTAACGTCACTGTCGAGTCAGAAAACTTGGTGTAGGAGTTGCAAGCTTAATTATTATAGGGGCCAGGGGGTGTTTCCAGGATATTACATCTTGAATCAAATCACTCCACCAAGAGATCAAATCAGTTATTTACGAGGCTGGTAAAAGTCAGTACCATATTCACATTGCAGTACTTTGCACTATCAATTTACTGTAATTACTCCGTGACAGCTTTCCTTTCTCTGATAATGGTGTTTCGTCCTCCTCCTCACGTCCCTGACGCTAAGGTCAACTCTGTGTTGGTTGGGGGCCAGGTGCCGGAAAGGCTCTGGATCCGGTGTCATGGTGACGATGCAAGCCACATCTCTTCGACAGAGCTTGATCAGATAAAAGATCGCTTGCTTTGACTCGCATCCAATATTCGCCGCAATTAGCATGCTTCACAATAAATAATGTATCAAGATGAGAGTTAGTTGTGAAGTAATAATTTTAATGTCGGGGGACCCTCTCCATACTCTCTCTCTCTCTCTCTTGTACATATCATCATGTATATGTAGAAAGTTTTGGAAGTACGTGAAAAGAAAGATTACCCACTAACCGCCATACACTCCGGTCTAGACGAAATGGAAATGAAATTTGATGCACATTTGTAAAAAGTTTGCTAGTTTAATATGTTTCATAATGACTTCTTATCATATTCCGGTGCATGGTTTTGTAGATTATGCTGGGTTTAGCCCATAATATAATATGTTCTTTGAAGCTAAACTGGAAGGTGCCCTTAAGGAAGTTATCTTTAAATTACGCTCCAATAATCGCTCCTTGAGTTCCGGTTAGTGATATTATAGTTTACAGATTAATTATAAGCGAGGTTATGAAGGGCCTGACCAAAGTTAGGGTAAAATTTTTTCCATGTAAGGATAAATTAAATTAGTTGATGTGGTAGTAGGGCGAGGAAGTATGGAGCCACTGTCACTACTTTCCACAGTAATCCAGTTAGTGAACTCTATGTGCCCTACCATCACCATTCTCGTTGTGCTCTAATTTCTAAACCATGCCGTCTCTTCATGAGGAATATTAACGTTTTGGAACTAAATTCTTATCCCGCATAGTCTCTACAAAAACTTGCTCCACCTGTTGTCGCCAAACACTCCGATGCCCCTGAGGCCCTGAGGGGCACTCTAAACAGGAACACGTTAACCAGTATTAACCAGTATTAACCAGTATTAACCAGTATTAACCAGTATTAACGCACTTAATTCAACAACTAACTCATTTAAATTACTAATCTGATATTTTATAAACCAAAAACACCCTCAGATTGTGGAGACGGATGATTACGAGTACTGTATAGCAGCTATGGGGCAGAGACCTATTGACTGTCACAACTACTACACCATGCTTATTAAACTTAGTGATACAAACTTGTTTGTGTGCGGAACTTCCTCTTTTGCTCCTACTTGTGGCACTAGACTGGTTCGTGGATACTACTTTTATCTTTATGGAATCATTCGGGGTGGAAAATTCTTCAAGTTCTTCAACTTAGAAATTTAAGTTTTTGTGTCAATTAACATGGCTCATTGGTATAAGTTTGAGGATTCTTAACAAATTTCACTGTCTACAGAAAAGTGAGTTATCGTACAAGTCCAATGAAGCCAAAGTAAACTATATCTCCTCAAACCCCTACTCCTCCCTCCTTTATCTACGACTTAAAGAAGGTATTTACCGTTACTTGTTAGGTGACACTTAATAAACATCACGTGATATCTTCAAGTGTCACGTGATTCACCCTCTGTTCCACTCCTGGAACTCTTTGTTCTAATACTTATTCCATACTCGTTTATTTATCCCAGCACGCCACTCATTTTTACAAATATTCACCAATTCTCGCTCTATTATCTTGAATTTCTTGATCACGTGACCCCTATCACCCAATCCAAGCTCTGCTACAACCGTTTAAGAGTGACTGCATTCTGTTGTAAATGGTTACTTGACAAACCTTAAGCAAGGTTTTACAGTCAGTTAGTTGTTATATCCAGGGGAGACAAGCATTTATCAAACCTAAGAGAGAGAGAGAGAGAGAGATCAGGCGAGGAAGAAGGCGGTTTGATGGAATTACGGTATTTTCGTGGGAAACGTGGTGATTTAGACACGGAAAGCAGACAAATCGGCTGATCTCTCAGGTGGTTTAGGCGTTGGATCAGAAAACCACTTAAAGAGAGTGGTATTATGTAGTCAGCAGCTGTACTGACTCAGTACTTTGATTTAACAGCTGCCAGCTAAGCTGTTAAGGTGGTTTGAGGTGCTTAATAGTGGTTGAGTGAGGTATAGTAGCTTGTGCGAGAGAGTTGGTTAAGTTTATAATTTAAAACAATGACAACTCGTATTAATCAATTTCTCCAAACTCCGTCAGTAATCTTGAATAAATTATTTTCACTCCGTGATAATATATATTCTGCTATGATATGGATTCGATTGGGGCACATTTATGATATAACATGCTATTTTTACCCAAGAATGAAAAAAATGCGTTTTTTGCGGATGAACGGGGTTTCCACACGTGAAAACGTGTGTTATTCCCGTTCTCAATAATACCGATACCTTCATGATGACAAGTAGTGTAGTGTTAAAACTAAAGTTTAAAATGAGTCGTATAATTACTGACTTAGTTGATATCTTCTATTTCCCTTCACGGAGTATTTTAGGAACTTCTCTTAAAACAGTCTGCCTCACAATTTGAGTGATAACGAGACCGAATTACACATAATAAGCGTGACGAAGTATAATAACTAGAATATATTCAAGGCGTAAGTTGACCAAGCATTATCCCTGACTTTCAATATGAAGTTCAGAGCACGGCAGGTGTGGGCGAATTAGTTTTTTAAACTTTCTGTTTTCCGTGGGTTAGCCAGATAAGGGGCTGTGCCCTATTTACTTTCACGTCAACCTGACGCCAGTCACATCCCCTGAACTCCCTTAGCCCTTAACAGTGACCACTGTGTGCTGTGACGGTGAGGTCGGCCCGCATTAATATTACCCACATATATTTAGCATATCCCGTCATATTATGATTTAGTTACATTGTAACATAAACAAACTTCGTGGAGAGAGAATATTGATACAATGTAGCGAGTTGTTTAACATCGAACAGGGGAATTTGCCGCCTCATTCCAGTGATGAGTCAGAGGAGTGTCGTGCACTTTGTGCTACGGATACCACGCGAGTTGGAGCAACGGCCAATCAGCTTGCAGCTTGTAGGTCACGTGGTGTGAGTCGACCAATGATCTGCCTTCAATCAAGCTGGAGACGGGCCATCAGTAGCTCCTTGCTAAACTGCTGTCTGGCACTCCGATCCTTCTGAAGATTGTGTCTAGTTCATAGCTATTGTGTAACGATCAGGACATTGGGCGCGATATTAGTTTATGTGCGGTTGGAGGATTAGCGGAATTTAGCGGAATTGATACAATGTAACTATTTGTATTTTGGGAATCTCATTTTATCGGTCCATGCTAGGTAGGCGGGAATCCGGCTCCAGTGTTCTAAATTTAGACTGGAGTGAACAATGGTTGATTGAGTTCTGACCTCAAGTATAGAGTATAGCTGTATGTTGAGTGATAGTGCTGGTGTCCAGCATGACAAATAGATACCTACCATTAACCACACATCCCTCCCAACGCCAATCACCAAACATGGTCTGAAAATAGGACAGCTAATTTTGTCGATTATACCGTTATCCGGTCTATTCGCAATGGAATCTTTAGCTTGCATTAAATTCACGACTACATGTTAATGTTAATTTCAATATGGAGGGATAGGTGTCAGCTGAATAAATTCGTCCAGGGCATCAGAATTTAAACCGTTATTAATTTAAACGATTTTTAAAGAATTTCAGCAATAAAATTGTTCACATATTCTAATATTAACATTGAACAGCAAACTAATAAATATTTCACATTTCTATGTTTCTCCAATCTCCATTTACCTTTCAGTTAACTACACAGCTTACGTTGGAACAGAACTCGGCTCTAATACACAAGACTTTGTGATAGCGTCTGTTAACATGATGCCTGGATCATATGCTATGAAGGCTACCACCCCAACTGAATCCAACACTTGGCTCAATGGTTAGTTTTATTGACAGTTCAACCAGTTAAATATGTCAGTTCGTTAAACAGCTCGGAGAGCAACAATATTGTTACGCTAAATGTTATTGCCTCCATGTCTAGTCAATCACGCATTGATTTTAGTGACGGAAATTACGAAATCTTGCAATTCTTGAGCTGTCAATGGAAATTAGTGACTACCGGAATGACTTATCGAAGGACGAAAAATACCATACAACTTTAGAATTGGTGGCGGAAATTAGAAATTATCCAGGTGCACTCTGTAGTTTCTGTGAAGGTTGCATTGCGTAGTGGTGTAATATTTGCAGATAGCAGGAAATTGTATGTACTGATCGATTGAGCAATTCAAGGGAATGTATGTAGTGACAAATCGCTAAATTCCTTCAACTTGTCAAATTTCAGACATGCAATATTTCATGCTTAAATGGTTGTAATAACGGAATCACATACACTTTACAGTTACATGCCTCCTGATTCTAACCAGTCATAATTTATCGGTTATCACTCAACCATACTTAACAGAAAGTACCTATTGTTTATTATCAGTTTCTTCCTTTGACAATGCTACACTTTCAAATATCAATTCAATGCAATATGACTTTCTTTGAGGCGGCCCGACAAAAAGCCTGCGACATATGCGACTTTTTCAAGGCCCTTATGTCAGGACTTAGAGAGCACGCGCGGTACAATATTTCTTAATGAAATGTCTCTCAAACTTGTCATAAACACTCAGTAAAACTGCTCGCAGCACAAAAGTGAGCCGCGCACATGCGGAATTGCGGACTATTTTGACTTGTTTCTTTTTTATACAACTCTTAACTCTTTTATTTATTTCAGCACCGAAGTTTATTTACTCGTTTGAATTGGACGAATACGTTTATTTCGTATTTCAAGAAACAGCTGTAGAGATTTCTCCGGAGGTAATGAGAACTTTTGCAGTTTCAATCCTTTTCTTAACTGATAAAATTATCTTTGCTATGCATTGTAACTCCATTTATTGCATCATGCATGTTCATTTCCGTATTTACGCGCTATTAATTCCATCACTGACGTCTTCAAATCTACCTTCCGTTACTCTATTAACAAACGACGCAAATATTTTAACTAAGCTGTGTCCTTCAGAGAGTATATTCAAGAATTGCAAGAATCTGTAAGGACGATACCGGAGACACCTCGCCATTCTTCAGCAAGAAGTTTCTGACTTATTCTAAACTCAGGATACAGTGCTCTTACTCACAAACCGGCCAAGCTCCCTACCAGTTCGACAAAATCAGTAAGTTTTTGCAACTGTGATTTTGGTGATTCTTTAAATTTTTGGCATCAATTAGTTTTAGCGATAATGAATGACGAAGTATTAATTGTAAATTAATTTGAACTCATTTTCAGGTGGGGCCTATTACCAAGACGATTATCTATACACTGTTTTCTCTGGATCCAACACAATTATCGATACTGGCTCCGTATTCTGTCTCTTCAAAATGGCTGAAATCAAACAGGCCTTCACCGGAAAGTACAAGTTCTTTGACAGAGGCTACTGGGCAGATGAAATGCCGGCTGGTGCTCCCTTCAGCTGTGGAGGCGACCCCAACTGGACTGCTAGTCAAGCTACTAGATTCCAAATGATGGCTGAGACCCTGAAAAGCGAGCAAGTTATTCATTATGACCAGGATGAGCTCAATTCTCTCGATCTTTTTGTCACAAATGTAAGTTGTGTTTAAATTTTGATATTTTTTCATCAATTATACTTTCATCAGGAATATTTTCTCGCACGACACTCTAATAAATATACGGGCTATTACTGGATAGATAATAAATAATCCCCCCAGATAAAAGGTAAAGAGTACAAGATTCTCCACTCGGGATCAATGACTGGCAAAGTAGTCCGTGTTGGATTTCATATCAACAGATTCGGTGAACTGGAGAGCATAAAACACGAGCAAATCCAGGCTGGAAATGGCCAGATCAAACAGGTTAGAGTCTACATATTTTTTGCAAAGTTCAGTTTTAAAAACCATGGCCACCAGCTTCAAAATACCTTGTCTTGCATCGTGAAAACTCTCATGTTTCATCTTAACTCTGAATCTGATTAATAAACCATTTCAGATATTCCGAGACAGCCCCAAATCAGGGGATGTGTACGTGTTAACAAACGACTGGATAACGTTCCTGCCCCTACAAACTGATTGTTCAGTTCACACCACGTGTCAAAGCTGCTCAAATGCGTTTCCCGGTTGTGGCTGGTGCGTTAGTCCCACATTACGATCCACCTGTACTCGTTCCGATCAGTGTGCCTCTAAGTCAAGCTCTTGGCAATCAGCTTTTGAACGGTGTTCCCCTCTTGCTGACTTCAAAATCAAACCTACGGTAAATTTATTTCAATTGTTCGGGCTGCTCTTCGATTTAATTTTTATTGAACTCTCAGTCACTCAGTCACTCAGTGCTCACTACTCGTGTTGGTACCCGATTCCTCCGAATAACTAACATGCCCTCCCCCCTCAGAACATCACAGTATCCCACAAATCTCACGTGGTCCTCGACTGTGTCTCAACTACAAACGAAGGCAGCTACTGGATAAATGAGACCGGAGTTATGTCCGATGATGTCAGAATGCCCCTCAACGGATCCCTGATCATACCCTCCGCCAGTCAGACGGATAACGGGTGTTACATATGCGAGCTGAGAGGGGTGTCGGGGGTCGTGTCCACTAAAGCTTGCATCACAGTTCTCATCCCACCATTCTTTTATATGAGCAACGATGTCGAGACTAACGTAAGTCTCCCAAGTCTTACTTTTACACTTTTCTTGATATTTTTTGTGCCGTAAATATAGAATTAAAACGTGGAATGCTGTCTGAATGGCCCCTTTTAAGAATTTTGTATTTCTGTGGGCACTGCCATTCTTTTGAATGGGACTTGATAAGACCATAATCAAATTTCGTGTCTGTAACTAACATTACCGTACAATAATGCCCGATAAATTTCACATTTTAAGTTATCGAGTCAGAAGTCCTCACATACTAATTGTTAATGCATTGCTGGAGTTATTAGGGATATCCATTTGCCATTTAACACTGCCATCCAACCCTGAACTCTAAATCGGGGCAGCTTGAAACTGGCCGGAAGCTCGTGGAAGTGTCACGCTGTAAAGTTGCCTAGGAAATATTCACCGCCCCCACGGAACATGAGCCATTGTTACTGATATGTGATAACGGGCAATTCATCTATTAAACTTCCAGTCTTTAGGTCGCCAGTTTCCCGCTCACGACTTACGGCATACCGTCACTGTGAAGTGCAAAATGACCGTCTCCACGATAAGAAATGTAACATTTGTATTTCCTCTGCCCATTTAGATTAACACTTCCTGGTGATTGGTTACTAACCCTGACTTTCTTACAGAATAACCTAGTGGAGATTGAGAAAGGAATGGACGCCTCTCTACCCTGCAACGTCGGGGGCTCACCTACACCCACCATCATGTGGCACAAGGTACTTACGCAGCGAGATATTATTTAAATTTGTTGATACAAACCGTGATGTCATTAACTTATTCTCCGATCAATTTGTTGATTGATTACTGATCGTCACGTACCAATTGTCGTAATTGGTGATGCATGCTTTTGTTTCACATCGAAAATGTTTCCGTTAAGAACTAAAATTTGAAGAATTTAGATACATGAACGGCAGGAGTTTATCAAAAAATGAATTAAACACCGCGAATATCTCTGACAAATTTCTTTCCAACAGATGGGCAATCAAATGCTGCCGGAGGGAGCCTACCTTGGTACAGATAATGAGCTCCGGATAATTCGGGCAATAGAGGATGACCAAGGAGAGTACCAGTGCAGTGCCAAGAACTCAGTTGGAACGACTTGGAGTGACCCTATCATGCTGGATATTATTATAGGTAAATTAGATTAATTCTAATATTTCTGATTTTTGATTAGACAATACTGCAGACCTTATTTATACACTTGTTTTGAGACAAATAAACCATGGAAAATATCAATTATCCATAATATCGCGATCGCAAGTCTCATCTCCCCAAGTCTTTACCATTGAACTAACAGTTATTTCCTGCAGCGGGAAACCCAAAAGGAGACACAAGTGTACAGAGAAACAGTGACAGTAACAAATCAATGATATCCCTCGTCAGTACCGTCAGTGTCGTACTAGTCGTCATTGTCGTCTCAATCATTACTGCTCATTGCTACTGCAGACGCAAGAGCTCCAAAAAGGTGAGGCATTGTTCACTAAATGTTCAGTCACCAAGATTTTCTTAAAATTCAAAGTCTGATAGAATTTGTCAAGAGTTCAGAGGTATGGCACTCCCGCCAGATTACATGTCCGGTGTTTGGCCCTGATGTGACCCCTAAACAGTGAAATCAAATACTTGTTCTCTGTAATTTATCGGCTAGATTTCCCCCGGAAATTTGGAGCCCATCCAGATCAGCCACTCCCGTACATGACTCTCAAATAATTTGATCAGTGAAACCCAGTACCCAAAACAAAGACTGTCAAATACTTAACCAGGTCATTGATCTAGATACGGCCAAATTTTTCACTAATCGCAAAATTTTACTTCCGTACTTACGAGATAATAAAAGTAGAGTACTTGCTAAACCTGTATTTCTAATACCAATTCCATAACATGTGAGGAGACACGATATTTTACTTGGATCTAGAAAGTCTATCATACGGCGTGGTTGTTTAACCCAGAATTTACTTTCAGTTCGAACAGCTAGATCAGCGAGATGAGATACTGCCGGATACAGCACGTATCTTGACCCTAGGATGACCCCAATAGGATCTCTCAGAGATAACTCTTTGAACAGCATTGACGCAATGAGACAGTGTTACAGTGAAACAAGTACTCCTAGATGGCTTCCCCCACACAGTAAGTGTTTTGACATGGTGACAATTTTGGGCTATGAAGTTGTGTACCTCAATCTAAATTTTAAACAATATCTGCCTTGAAAATGTAATCTTTTGATTTTACAAAATATCAATTTAACTATTATTGAGCCAAGCTGACGACCGCCAACCTTTCAGCAATAATGTCAGCCCCGCTTGGTAGCGATAATATGCCACCGCCGCCCTACCAGCAGTACTTCCTGGAGCGACAGCTCATGAACAGTCTACAACCTAGAAGCTTCTACGAGAACGTTACGTTACAGAACAGCTATATGACTGCTCAACCAGGAGGGTTTCCCCCACAACCACCCTCTCCAACTGAGCAGGTACCCATCTCCTTCAACCAAGAGCTCCCCTACGCAAGAGTGGGTACAGGGATGATCAAGAGTAGGAATCCAGGATACTACTTTCCTTACAACCCGAACAATATGAACACATCTCAATCTCAACCTACTCCTACCCCTATCTACTCTTCAGCCGCCTACCTACCCAACACCATGAACATTACAAACTCTAGACCAATGCTGTCTAACCCACTAGAAAACAACTCTTTGTTGGGCAGGCTGCCAATGCACGGTTCCCCTCTAGGACAGCACCAACCAAGAACTCATGTATACGATGAAATTGTGGTGCCGGAGGAAATTCTCCTGCACCCTGATCAGAGGTTACCAGGAGTGCTGTCACCGGCTGGTGACAGAATAGCTACACCAGGAAGTGACACATTGGTCAGCTCGCCCGACGACATGTCAACTAGTGACAGACTGGTTTTGCCGCCCCTAGACTCGTTAGAAAGGCCCCCCATCCCTCCTCGTCCCACCCGGACTCCATCCCGGAGTCCGCCTGCTATTCCCACTTCTATATGTGAGGAGCAGGTCGGCTGAGGGACTCACTTTAGGACAATTATAGTTCATCAGTTCATGTTATGTTTTGTTGTTTCATATCTCGAGATTGTCGGTTCTGGAAAATGCGAAGATTGCTAGACAGTGGTTGTTGTCAGCTAGTAGCATGTTATTGACGCAAGAAAGGCGCAGCAAACTTGACTTTTCTCTGGAAAGAGAATAAGACTGCGAATCTTAAGACTGTTTTTACGATTTTGATGAATTTAATGATCGATATTTTGATGTGTTGATTGTATTGATAATTTCAAGACTCTATCATCATTTTATTTGTTTATATATGAGGTTGCTGTGATGTTACGAGGCGAAATTAAAGTTTTTACCTCTCCTGTTTATTGTTTATAAAAGGTCTTGCTAGATAAAATGGAAAACGAACTTCCTAGTAGACCTAAAACTAACCCAGTAAATTTATCATCAATTGTATTTATTTCTTAGTTAAATCTTGATTCATTACACACTAATTATTAACGTTTTAGTTGAACTTTAGTCCTAAAATTTATTTGTTTATATTCATATTAACTGTCTTTTGATTTATCATTTAGGTATACTTTAGGTTTTATAAAGTCCTAACACATTGCATAATTGACTGATATTGCATTTTGTTTGGACACGTGGGTGTTGAACATATTTTTAGGCTCGGAATGCCAGAATGAGACTAAGCAACAGGCTATACAATTAACCGTTTTGTTTTATTCGTTTCACTCTGTATCTGCTCATACAGCGTTTATGTTTTCTGTTTTTTTACTGCTTGATATGTAAATATACACATTTCCCGTCATGTCCCTAATGATAGTTAAAATCAAAAATGTTAAATTATTTATTTTTTTACAATTACAAATTCTGAGTTTTATTTCTTGATTCCAAAAACATAGAAACGATGGAAATTTTTGAACGAAAAGCATAACAATAATTTATATTTTTGGTATTCAATATCAACAATTTCGGAATGGCAATATCCATCACACGATAATCAGATGAATATCAATAAACAAAAAGTCTAGCAATTTTCCAGCACACATTAAGAAAATAAAGCCTTGCTTTTCAATTAGCCATATTGAAACGAGAAATCTTCTAGAAGATCGAGGTCCTAATAGAAATATTAGACAATCTTCAAATAAATGTTATCTCATCCACTTCTGTTGTCTACGTAGTTTCATCAATTGAAATCTTCAAATTAATGGAATTAAATTGGCGGTCCAGCTAAACGGTCCAGCTTACTTAAATTGAAGAAAAAAAACCAAATCCTGTATTATAAAGTTATATTATCAGCATAAAATTTGTTTTTCCTACACACATGCAGCCCATAGAAAGTCAAAAATACATTAAACCGTTTATTATCGATCGTGTTTGGTGGAAATCCTAACAAATTTCACGATAATTAATATTGTTTCAAGACGCCTCTTCCATAGCATCAGGAACTTGAGTGTCCCCGATGAAAAGACTGTAAATAATACCTTCTCTTCTTTTTCCTGATGTTACTGCTCTTATCACCGCTGGTTGGGTATCGATCATAAAGTGAGTCTCTGTTCCGTTCTCAGTAAACTCACCCTGGAAGGATATATATGTATGAGATATTAGATATGGGATAAAATGTCTGGAATATAACAGAATAGTCATGGTATATTTTGTCAAACACACTTTTTATAAAACATATTAATTATACGAAGTTGCAAGTTGATAAAACAATCATTTAATAAAACAAGAGTTTGGTTGGTGTAACTGCAAATCTTTGCCCATGTCTTCATATGGAATAAAGGATTTCATTGGTTAAGCAGAGGTTGACTCACCATAGCATCGAGCTTTTGTCCGTCTAACCACACATTAAGACTGTCTCTCTCTGAAATATTAGATATTTTAAACAAAACTATAACATTTTATTTCCAGACGCTGTGCGCGCTTGTGCGCGCAATACACTGACTGCCGAAAAACGTTTTTTCTATTATAAATTAGACTTCGCCGCGTTATTTTCCTTAAAGTTTTGGATTGTAATACAGGTTGTAAATTTGAAGGCCAATATACAGTAGTAGTTTTTATAAGCACGTTAGGCACATCTAGACTTGCTTTCAATTTCAAGTAGAACACATGACATAGTCTGCGCGAATATTCTTCATCCAGCGACCTATATCATGAGATAACGAATCAAGCTGAGAGCTATGAAATTAGTTATTGAATTCTGAGAATTATTAGTGATAAGGCGATGTTAATAACAAAATCAACGGGCAACGAGTGAGGCTGACGTTGACACTGTGCTCCCTGGCCCTGTTCCAACACTTTAACCATGACTCGTCACGAGATTAATTTTGAAGTTCGGAATTGTCAATTGTGATGTCTGGAGGCTTGGAGCAGTAGCAGATGCTAAGAAAATTTGACTATATTTTTTAGTGCGGTTTAATAAAATTGGCCCCAAGTATTTGCGGGAGGTGAGAAACTATTTGCACATGCCAGCAGCTCATATACTTGATAAGCAGCTGATTACCCGTTACTGCAAGCGGACTTGTTAGAGCTAGTTGGGAGTATGATCAGATATTTCAGCACTTTTTTGTTTGTTAAATTTTAGTGAGATGGTTCCAGTCAACTTTTTGCATATCTCGAACTAAAGTTCGGACTTGCTTGATTTAGGCAAGCTTATTATTGGTAATAATCAATGTCATGTGTATAAACAATATAATTACTCCACCTCCTAGAAACGCAATCTTGGGGGTGGCCGACAACTGAACCCAATTGAACATAATTCCCACTTACCAATCAGCTTGATTGGTTAGGGTTGGGGTTAGGGTTAGGGTCAGGGTTAGGGTTTGGGTTAGGGTTAGAGTTAGGGTTAATCTAAATGTCTTAATTGGGTTCAGTTGTCCGGTAGCCAATATTGGTTCTTAATGTGACAGAACGTGGGGTCCTCAGTGGAAGTAGTAAATACTTTACATATTATACATCCTGGTATATACTTAATTTATAAGGTATTACGAATATTCTTCGAAACAGAATATAAATTATTGTTTAGAATTTGCTCTTCGTCGAACATAGTAAAATTCAATTTTTTGACATCTTTGATTTGATTTGACTTCAAGAGTAAGTCTCGGGCACAGCCTCAGCAACACTGGACTGATATTGAACGTGAATTGCCGTTTTGACAAGCAATACAAAATTCAGCAATAAAAAAGACAACAAAGTAAATTTAGCATGTAAGAGCTTTTAAGATTTCAAATGACACAGCTTGACAAAACTCATTAAACATTAATAAAGTTATACCATGAGAGATTTTAGCTCTGTACAAAATACAAAATCATGAATTATTCTTCAGTTAATTTCAGCTTCAAATTGTACCTAACCCTCAATCTATTTTCTTATTTTTAAGATTCAAAATCTTACGAGCACGTCCCCGATTCCATTATATAATCAGTCGTTCATCAAAAAGTGACCCAGAATTTAGGTCTAACGCACATAACATCATACAAAACAAACACTTCAGGATCCGCTACATTGTTTACACAAGACTGATAAGGACTCCCATCCTCTGATACGGGCGGCTTTGTGTCCCCTGGTTTACCTCTACAGTAATTCGCCACCACCACCTCACACAGCACGATATCACGTGACTGCGAGAAGTGGAGAGCGTATGATTCGTCACGTGCCAAGTGGAGACCAGTTCCGTACTTCTTCATAAGAGGAGGTGTGTCGTTCAGGAGGAGACCATGTTGGGCTACAGCCGTGAGGTCGGTCCCCACAGCAGGGTGGAACAAGTGTAGGGTTTTGTTTTCTTTCAGCCTTTTTGAGAACTGTTTATCTAACAAGTTAGAGGACACAGATTGGATCTTCGTTGGATTTTCATCTGATTTTAGACATGACATGACAAACTCCTGCTCATCTTTAGTGGCCTCCCTGACACAAGTGTGGTATTCGTGATCTGGATCCTCCTTGCCTGTCACAATTCCCGCACATCTCGGTACAGAGCGGTGTATGGGTCTCCTGCAAATCTTCCTGATGTTTCTGCAATTATCCTCCTTCATCTGCATCCCCCCGAACAATAGCACAAAATCAGAGTCTGATATCTTGAAATGCTGTTTCTCACTCCCGTTAAGATAGGCTGTCTCTATCACGTGACTTGGCAACTCAAGTTGAGGAGTGTGTTTACCTTGAGTTACACAGGACGGGAACTCATGCCACACGTTATCCATCTCCTCCCAGTGCCAGTGGTAGGCAGTTGCCAGGGAGCCCAGGTGTCGTCCTCCATGTACTGGACCCGTGGACATACGCCGTATCCGGAAATCTCCATCCATCATAGTCATAGTAGGGAAGTCTATGATAGCAATACTGCCATTAATCTTGATCTCCACTGTCCTAATAATAGGATTACAGTAAGCTTTCTCCAGGATCAGGACACTATCCCTGTCCCAGTTGTCCCAAGTAGCATCTTCTGTCATGTATTGCCACCAGAACGGCAAGTTTATGTGGTGAAATGGACACGAGTCACTTTTACCACACTTTCCCACCAAGTTCCACACACAAATCTCACAATCGTGGTTGTGTATTTTCGTGTCATTTTGCAGCATGTTCATAGCAATGGCTGTCACTGAAGTCTGAGAGTTGATAACTTGAAGGAGGGCTTTTGAGTCCATGCGTAGGCCCCCACAAGTATCGACTATCTTCCGATTATGCTTGGAATTCATATCATGGGAGTGGGAACAGGAGGCATCAAAATTCTTACAGTGTCCAGATGCGAACTTCTTGCACAGATGGAAAAAGAGACAAGGTCCAAGACATCCTGTGTCACTGTTGTAATATTCACAAACCTGCGGAAATCTCAACTGATCCGGGGTGCACTTCTCGAACAAGATCGGAGTTTCCGGCCGGATAATGAACTTTGTGTATTTCAGGAGACGTTTCAGAAGTATGGGACTGAGTTTCTGCAACAAAGGATATTTCTTGTAAATGACAGCATTGTCCGGGTTTTTACTGATGTTCTGTCTACACGTCTTGCACGTGCTGATCTTGCTAGGCCAGTGTGTACACACGTGGAACGCGCCACACTTACAGTCCTCATCACGGCACACCATGAAGGGTACCGAGATAACAATCCTGTTCTCCTTTCCTCGCTTGATAAGAGAGCAGTGATTGTCAACAAAGAGCAGTGGACCTCCTGCACCAGCTACAAGTTTGAAGTACTGTTTGTTTTGTCCGTACACCCGGTTGAAGAGTTGTAAAACATGCTGTTTTCCACCAACATCCAGCAGGCTGACCAACAGATCTAATTCCACTTCTTCAGCCATGTTCTAACCGAGGTTCTCCTAACAAACTTCCTGGTTTCTTGGTTTAACAAATTAAAGTGGACGATAAAGAAGATACACGCGTTAATACACGACTATAATTCACAAAGAGACAATGTATCGCTACGGCAGCTTGCAAGATGAATCGAAAAAGAACATGTTTGCAATTCCTTCGTGACTATAGAATCCGTGCTTGCCACCCGCCATCACACCAATGTTAGGTGCAATAGTCTGCTTCATAATCGTGATTATTTAACATTGTGATAATTTCGTGAACCATGTTGATCCATTGGCATGCACAATATTGCGAGTAATGGACTATTCCACAGAATTGAAAAAACGATAAACGAGACATGCATAATATTGAATAATTACTAAATCGGAACCAAATAGGGGCATACAAACTGGACTGCAATGTAATATGTAGTACCGTAAAGTACGCAATTCTTGGGCAAATTAGTGAATCTGTTGCCATGGGCACACTGTAACGGAGAAACTCGAGGGGGCCGGCATATTTACTAAGAGCTGACAATTAGGACACTGCTACTAGACCAAGAGTATGTAAAGAGCCGAGCATCATAGCATGCCTGCATAAATTATGTTCCGAACTGAATGAAACATAATATACCCCATGCAACTAATTTCTCGAATTTCAACTGTTAATTTTACAAATTTTAAGTGCGAACAATAACATTCGGAATAAGCATTCTAAATATGAATATGGGGTGTTAACATTGTTGCGAAACGTTCATTTTTTCAAAGTTTAAAGACCAAAATCGAATTGAGCATTGACCGGCACGGATGACTTTGAAGCATGAGTTTTGGGAATGAAATTAGCTGGGTGTTTTTTTTGGTGTAATATTTCAATTTGTGTTCAAATTTTGTTCGCATGATTTCAATTAATATTTTTCATTCGTCTTCATCCAATCATGCTCATGACTCTAAATGGTAATATAATATTTTGTCTGTTAGATTACATTAATCAGATAACTTGTAGATAAATTAACAGATTAATAAAACACAGATTAAATTATAACGAACCGAGGACGACTCTGTGAGGGTTTCCTCCTACTCGTGGTATCCACGTTCTACATACTTTCTTCCTGTTTTCAACAAATCTCTTCAAACTCTTCCCATCCACCTCCAGTATGTAGGTGTAACTAAGGGGAATTTAGTATGATTAATAGAATATATTTAACATTCAAGGGGATACTAATTTTGTTAAAGCTACATGGCAATTCTTATTTCTTCGTGATGTTCAACTAACTTTGTTGGTCAGCTCATTTAAGTTTTGCAAAAACGAAAATAACTTGGATAAAACGCTTAGTCGGTGTGCAACTCATAATTTGACAGTTATTTATTTACATAATCAATGTGAAATATTATGAACATAACTCGAAGCACACCTAGATCAGCACACCCCATGCAAATCAGCAGCAGAGCTGGTTTGTGTTTATAATTATAGACAAGTATTCGTGTTGATTATTGGACAAATACTACAGTTGAAACGCCATCCACGAAATTTCATGGTATTCCACCATAATACAAAGAGGAAATTCGATCACCATTTGTTGCCCACAGGAAGGACAGAATTAAACTCACTAAGATTGTTTGAAACTTCCTTCATAGTCCCCATGAAGGGACCTGAGAATTATATAATAAAAATCAATACAACAGGATTAACTATTTAATAATTGAATCTAGCGTCAAGAATCCATTTTCATACCACATTTTCATACCACTAGACAAAAAAAAATTGAAAATACCGATACCCAAAGCCGCACCGAACGGAATTGATTCATTATGGCACTTACTTAAGACCATTTGCTTCGATAATGACACAAGCTTTGTATTTCCCTATCAAGAAAGACTCCTTGCCAACAAGTTTAAACTGCCAGCCTGTGTTCCGGACTTCTTTACCGTCAACTAAAATAACTCTCCGGCCACTGGTTGTACCGTGCTGAAACCTAAGCAATTCAATGTTAATTATTAATTATTAATTAATTAGTTCAACGTTTATTAAAGAATCTATAATTGAAGTTAGCTATCGGAAGTTCTAGCCAATTGGTTGGTTCTTCTGGTCAGTGAGAGGAACAATCTGTAATGTAGTATAATATGTAGTTTAAATATAACTGTCTTTACAAATTCAAGTTAAATTTCAAAGGAGTAAAGACCGAATGTGGGGGTGCACACCTGACACAGTGTTTTCCATCGGGTAAGTTGAGATCCCACTGCGCTACATCATCATAACTTTCTAAGTCATTTGACATATCTAACAAGAAAACTGAGATGGATTTTTCAGATGAAGACAGCTTTAAATGATGATGATATGAAACCAAAATAAGGTACTGGGAGTCAAAATCCCGAATAGAATCGCAAAATCATATTGTCCCAATCTCTGTCCCATTTTCAGTTTTTGAATCTATGAAATTTCCAGGACCAAAATTTTACAGTTTTGACTGATTTTTGCACCCACAACTAACTAGTAAGTCAACTATAGATGCCATATGACACGATTGAGTTGCTGGAAGTTTTATTTTGGTCGGAGGAAGCCCACAGAAGATAGCTTACCAAAACGAAAAGTTGTATTTTCAAAATCCTGTCCCATTTTCAAATATGAAATTTTCTGAACACAAATTTGACAGATTGGATGAACTTTTTGCCCAGAAACCAATTAGTCAGTTAATTGATGATGGTATGAAACCAAATCGAGGTACTGGGAGTCAAAATCCCGAATAAAATTGCAAAATCATATTGTCCCAATCTCTGTCCCATTTTCAGTTTTTGAAGATGAAAATTCCACGACCGAAATTTTACAGTTTTGACTGACTTTTCACCCACAACCAATTAGCAAGTCAACTTTAGATGCGATATGACACGATTGAGGTGCTGGAAGTTTTATTTTGGTCGGAGGAAGCTCACAGTAGAAAGCTTAACAAAACGAAAAGTTGTATTTTCAAAATCCTGTCCCATTTTCAAATATGAAATTTTCTGAACACAAATTTGACAGATTGGATGAACTTTTTGCCCAGAAACCAATTAGTCAGTTAATTGATGATGGTATGAAACCAAATTGAGGTACTGGGAGTCAAAATCCCGAATAAAATTGCAAAATCATATTGTCCCAATCTCTGTCCCATTTTCAGTTTTTGAAGATGAAAATTCCACGACCGAAATTTTACAGTTTTGACTGACTTTTCACCCACAACCAATTAGCAAGTCAACTTTAGATGCGATATGACACGATTGAGGTGCTGGAAGTTTTATTTTGGTCGGAGGAAGCTCACAGTAGAAAGCTTAACAAAACGAAAAGTTGTATTTTCAAAATCCTGTCCCATTTTCAAATATGAAATTTTCTGAACACAAATTTGACAGATTGGATTAATTTTTTGTCCAGAAACCAATTAGTCAGTTAATTGATGATGGTATGAAACCAAATTGAGGTACTGGGAGTCAAAATCCCGAATAAAATTGCAAAATCATATTGTCCCAATCTCTGTCCCATTTTCAGTTTTTGAAGATGAAATTTCCAGGACCGAAATTTTACAGTTTTGACTGACTTTTTCACCCACAACTATAGATGCCATGTGACACGATTGAGGTGCCCACAGTAGAAAGCTTAACAAAACGAAAAGTTGTATTTTCAAAATCCTGTCCCATTTTCAAATATGAAATTTTCTGAACACAAATTTGACAGATTGTATGAACTTTTTGCCTAGAAAGCAATTAGTCAGTTAAGGTGACATACAAACATTTTGCAATCTACAGGAGGAATTACTGGGTTGGGTGCCAAATATACAAATAATCACTTAATTCAACTATAATCACTAAAATATATATTTTGATTTCCGCTTTTTACATAATGACATGATTGGTCATCTGGCCAAAAATATCATGGAATTCAGAACCTTTATTGGCACAAGCTACAACATGAAATACCGTTCTAAGTAATACAACATTTTGGGGTAAATCACATTTAGTATAATAATTTAATTTAATTTGTAAAGTTCGTAGATTACTCTACAGGGTCATCGAATAGTTCGACCGCCCTTGTTTTACAGTACACTACATTGTAGATGTTCTGAAGGAGTATCCTAAGATTCTTGATCTTTTGGCACAGGCACCCCTCCTCATTTAACCCTCAATCAAGTTTCCTATCATTCGGCTGAGTCGACCGAAGAGATCGCATAGATCCAATGAATCCTTAGCTACTCCCTGACTGAGTGAAACTGGGATTCGAACCCTGAACCTTCTGTACAGAAGGCGGAAGCTCTAACCACTAGGCCACCCAGCCATAGTAACTACAAACAACATACCCAACCTTACCATCCTCCCTCATTATTATTTTAAAAGTAAAAAACATACAACAGCAGTAAAATGGACAAAAATACTTACGATCTTAGATGTGAGATATAGTATTTGGGCAGAAAACATATTTCCACAGTTAGATTACGAAAAATGTATTCGTTATTAAAAATTGTAAACAAATGGTGGTAAACTGATGGTGTATAAACTTTAATAAACTAAACTATGTGTTAGGTGCATAGGAAAAATATTTCATATAGTATAAAGCTACAGAAATCAGTGACGAATATAAAGTTGGTTAAATTATTATATTGTATGTACAAAACACAATAAATATATATACACTAATAATTATAAATCTAGGCATTAAAATCTGAATTCTAAAGTAATCACATAAAAATGATAATATAAATGTGGCATAAAACATCACGATTAGATATAAATATTAATTACACAGTATTGAATAAATTATAAGGCTAATTCTACAACATTTAGCAAAAAATTTCAACCCTTTAAATCTATGGCGAATATAAAGTTGGTTAAATTAGAAACAGACAGTTGTATGAACAAAACATAATATACACTAATAATTATGAATCTACATATTTAAATCTGAATTCTATTGTAATCACATACAAATTATAATATAAATGTGGTATAAAACATCACGATTAGATATAAATATTAATTACACAGTATTGAATAAATTACAAGCTAATCCTGCAACATTTACCAAAGATTTTCAACCCTTGAGGCAATCTGGTACAGTCTGTAAGAAATAGAAACAATCTATGATGTATCCTTGGATTCCAGAAACTCCTCAACAACCTTCATGCTGACCTCCCATAACTTCAACTGTACATCTTCATCAATCTGCTTCTCATTAAAAGCTCGCAACTCCGAATTCACAAAATAACATCCATTCCCTTCGCCCAAATCAGCTGTAGCGCAGTAAATACTTGTCTGCGCACCTTGCTCAGGAGTTTTCCAGTATTTTCTCATACAGGAAGCAATACAGAGGTAAAGTTTACCAGATGAGCGATAGACCTCGGTATCTATAGTGCCAGGGTGTAAAGAAGCACAGGTGAGCTCAGGGTAGCGCTTAACAAGCTCACGCGCAAAAAGCACACGTGCAATATTGCTTTTGCAATACTGCTCAATCTCAGAATTTTCTACTGGTTTGAAAAGTTCTGGGTTTTCTCCTTCCAACATCTGCAGGGTAATTCCGTAGTACTCATATGCTTTAGAAGCCACCATCACTACTCTACCTTTCACAGGAATCAGAAGATCTTTTAGCAGATGAGTGAGGAAGAAATGTCCGAGATAGTTGATACCAGTAGTGGCTTCAATTCCTTGTTCTGTTTTATTGATGGGAGGTCTAACAACTCCAGCATTGTTTACAAGCATGTCTAATTTTGTATGAGCTGCTTTGTACTCATTGGAAAACTGCTGTATAGCAGAAAACGAAGCCAGATCAACTATCTTGAACTCGACCTGAAAATGAAAGCCAAGTTGAACACATTTTGGAAGGGAACAGGGTTAGCAAGTGTACAAAGGTCAAAGTATCTTAATATGTAACGAATTATCATCATAGCAGTGAGTATAAACTTTTGAGTAAAATTGTGAGATTCCTAAATCATAACAAAGTAATTTAATAAGTGACTGATCCACAAAGAAAGATAGCCAAAAAATGTTATAAAATGAACCCACTTTTTGATTACCAGTAGTTTCAGTAATCTCATCAACAGCTGCACTGCAGGTGGCCTCATTTCTCCCAATTATAGTAACATTAGCTCCCAACCTGGCAAGTTCCAGAGCTGTAGGTCTTCCTATCCCAACATTACCTCCGGTAACTATAATATTCTTCCCAGATAAATCCATAATCTAAAACCTGTTGTTATCTTTTCAAAGCTCAAATTATGATTCAGGGTTAAAAAGTTAGGGGTAGCAGGGAGTAAGCTTGTACTCAATCCAACATTAACATATCTCAGCCACATAAAACTTAATCCTTGACAATATTATAACATAAAATGAAAAATGTAATCTTGCGAAATATCAATTTAATCGTTGCACTTTAAGGCAGAAATGAATCCTTGACATTATTAGCATCATTATCAGTCGGCCTTTACAATTAAATAACTGTAATTGTAAAATTGTTACATTCTTCCGAAATCTGAATACCAGTCTGCAGAAGCACTCAGTTTGTATTAGACAATATATTTAATTATTGGCAATTGAGCACAATCATTTTGTTCATGTTTCAAGTGTTCGTTTGCGCAAATAAAGGGGTTTGCAATAAAATCATGTAAACGTTATTTTATCATAAATAAATGTACAACTCAATACAGTGAACTTGTCGAGTTATCAATAAAATAGTTAATTTAAGGCTTTCAAGATATTGTAGGTTTATAACCTACCAGGACGCGCGCCGAGTTGGACTCGTCGACGGTTTATTAGCAGGATCCCGTATAACCCTAAAATGATGTCAAGACTCAAAAGACTAAAATAATTATTACCTATTTAATTCGCGTTTTTGACACCACTTGGGAGTCCAAATTTTGGGCTCTAAAATTCCTATTCATTGGCCAATTTTTCATTTTTTCATGCTGATTTGGAGGCCATTAAAGCATTTGACCCAGTCAAAAAAGTTTCAGTTGTGTATCTTTTACGGTTTTTGCGGAAAGTTGCGTTAAAGTTGATGCCGTGGTGTCAGTAAAATGGTACGAATAAACATATATATATCGTCTCGCTTTATATATACATATAAGATCCTTATCATGTCTGCCTTCTCATCTTCATTCTCGAAAAAGTGAGATCCGAAGACACCACGGTTACCGAGACCTATCCAAACAGTCACCTTCACCTTGGTCTTTGGACCTTCCACACTCCACAGTTTCAAATTTCTTCACCTGTCGTTGAATAGTCTTGGGTTGATTCACGATGTCAATCCTTCGCAGCTCGGTGAGGCACAGTGGTGCATCTCGCCGATCTACCGAAGTGGTATTATTTGATGCGCGCGCGACCCAGTAGTGCATCGCGCTACAAAGTCTTGGGATGAATTGTCCTGCCTGATTTTTCGTATTTATTCGAAAATGCACTCCTAGCAGCCGTCCAACTGCTTCCGTTGACACAAAGAAGCTTAACAATATCAACTCTCTTCTCGTTAGGGCTAAAGAAGAAAATTTCGAAAGAATGCAAAATTGTGAAAAAATGGTTTTTTGCAAAAAATGATTTTTCAAGAAATAACTAAAATGTAGAACCTAACAAGCATTTCTAAACCGATTTTATTTAATTTCATGCTCCTTTAAAAAATAGAAAAATTATAATTTCAAATTTGGACACGAGTCTCGAAACACCCTGTAGTTAGATATATATAGTATATTCCTTGGTAATAGAATAACTTTAAAGTTTTTCAAATTGTTCATGTTGCTACAATTGATTTAAATAAAAATTTGTTGTTTTCTTGTTTGAAACAAATATTTTACGAGTATCACCAGTTAATCAAGAGATGGAGAAATTGCGATAAATAGTAATTATAAATTGGTTAATGATTAATGCAATGTGTTTTAATTGCATGGATAATAATTTGAGTTTGATCATGGATTAAAAATATAATAAGTAACTCGTGCTTCAGTAATTTTACGATTTTTACATAATCATGATAATCACTTTTAATTTTTGAATACAAACTGCAAAACAGGTGATAAATATTCAACTTTTTAGCAAAATAAGTGGCGAACCAAATCTTTGAATACAGTATCATTTCCTTTCACATAGCCATGTGTATACTGTATACGCGTACTGCGTGACGCGCGCTACTGCAAGCAAGAGGGCTCTGGTTAGAACAATCATCCCCTAAAAAGATTTACAACCTACATACCAAAATGCGCGCCGGGTTGGACTCGTCGACGGTCTTGGAACAAATATTTTACAATTATCGTTTTTAATATTTCCCTGATGCAGAGGCCGGGGACGATCCAGCCATCTTTTAAAAATGACGATTAAGTCATTTTCAAGTCATAACGTCATAAAATTTAAAATAAATATCACTAAACTACATTACTGGGCCGCGCTCAGCCTGTCATTCCGCCAAATCTTTATTCCGCCAAATCTTTATTCATCTTTAATGAACATAATAGCCTGGGGTCCTCAGGTAATAAACTACAGCATTGATTCACGATGTCAATCGTTCGCAGCTCGGCAAGGCCCAGTGGTGCATTAAATTAACTTAATTGACGATGTCAATTCATCGCAGCTCGGCAAGGCACAGTAGCGCATTTCGCCGATCGTTGCGAGAATCATAATTGAGTGCGCGGCGCGGGACAGTTACGCATTGCGCTTCAATGAATGAACAATGTGGTTGCGAAAAGAATTATTTGAGGCGCAGCATAATCCAGTAATGCATCGAGCTACAAACTACAGCACCGAATGATAATTATTTGTAGCGCGATGCACTACTGGGTCGCGCGCGCATCAAATAATGCTTCTCGCAACCACATTAAGCAGATCGGCGAAATGCGAAGGATTGACATCGTCAATCAAGATAATTATAAAATATTTTAACAATTTCACTGTACAATTTTACTTAAAATTGTGTGCACGCCGCGCATATTATATGTTCAATTAAATGGCGCGCCTCGCTTATTTTGTATTTTAACCGATGATCTATATTGTATATTGTATTGTGAAAATTGAGCGCTACGCGGACAACCGGTCACGTTAACACTTATTGTAAATTTCTTGTCAATGTACTGCTCGTCACATCAAAATCGTTGACTGAGGGAAATGTGATCCAAGGCTATTGTGAACTATTGCTTTCTGGACTCACTTGATGTTTCTCAAAAGAATTGTATTTTAATGGCACATTCGTTTATAATGTATCATAACATCTGAGCATTTTTGTCTTTCTCGATCATCCTGTATGTGCCTTTTCAAGTTTGGTGACATTAGTCTGCCATTACATCTTCCTTAATTATTGGGTTTGAATTGGAAGCAGCTTGATTTTATTATGTTCTGGGTTTTCTCTTATGCAAAAGGGGCATTGATGTGTAATATACTTGGGATGGAAACTCTTTTCGTGGGACCTTTTGCCAAACACAGTGGCAGAATTTGGCATTGAGCTGACTGCTGTGCCTCTTCTGGATAAATCATTAAGTAAAACAAAATTTAAAGTAAAACAAAATTTAAATTTGATTGCCATTACAATGAATAATGTTATCATAATAAATATAAGTAGACATCCGATAATAAACTTGTTAGGTCCAGTACAACCCAAGATGTCGGCCGACTAACAAAATAAAGAAAGCTAGCATGTTCATAGTTTTTCAAACGAGCATACTTAGGCTGTATGTCAATGATCATTGATAGATCATTTACTCTGACTATTTTTGTTAAAATTGAACCTCTATATGCTGGGCCTCTCTGGGAAAACAAAGTGTGCACGGTGTAGAGAAGTTCACATGATCCCACTTCCAAGTACCATTTATTCCATTAGTGGTCTTACATGCACATAATGTGTCGTATTGCGATGGGATACAGCTAAATATGTAGTCATAGTGCAGCTCTACCAAATGCAATGTCAAATGCATCTGTCGGCTTAGTAGTTCACCTAACCATGTGCTTTCGCGCCGCTGCGGGCGCGCTTGTTTCACAAGTCAAGAAAAGCACCTATCCACGAACCCCGATGGGAAGGTTCGTGCGCGCGTGCGCAGTGCTGACAACATCGTCTATGTAGCGCAGGTAGTCTTGGCACTTCTCCCTCCAGTATGCAGTAACCACTTTTCAGGTTTCTATAATGCATAGTGACAGTGTATAGGGGTTAATTAGGTATAAACTACAATACAGCTGTACTTACACTTACATTCACAAGCATGCAAGCTCATCTGGTCCAATGAGCGGGAAACGGAGGACAAGGTCTGGTGACGTCATAGTCACGTGACCTCATAGGCTCATAATCACGTGACCTCAGACCCAATCAATGATCAATTAGGTTTGGGCATGGTCAGCCCCCTGTCACCCGATCTTGAGGTGACGTACGACACCTCGTTTACGCAATCAATGTCTGAAAGGCTACACACGTCGCATATGAGGACAAAAGCGCGGGAAATTTTGGCACCACTGTAGAGTGGTGCCAAAATCGTTGGGTGGGTTCATGGCTAGAGCCCTTTTTACCGCCGTGAGGCGGGCGCGCGCTACTGCAAGCGCAAGGGCTCTGGATAGAGCAAGCTTAGTAGCGTAGTTGGCTAAAATAAAATTCAGTTCTCAAAAACCTTACCTTTGAGCCTCAAATCATGTCCCAAAAATACATTGTTTTAGAAAGAAGAAAGTATCTTTTTAGTAACGCTCAGCTTAACTAACATAAATGTGGGTTGCTTTTTCAGGTTTTATTGTATCCTGAACTGTTTTCGTGGCACACCTGTGCATTTTAAGTTGTTGTGCCACTATAATATAAAAGTTTAAATTATTATTATTATTATTAACTAAATAGGAACGACCATGACAAATCACCAAACCATGGTGTTGCCTAGCAAAAAAAGAGACAGGTAATATTGCATCATGCATGTAGGAAACCAGTAACACGGGGTCCATGCCCTCATAGGTATGAGCTGAAAAAGTTTACCCAAGTTGCATTGCATAGAGGAGTAAATTCCTCTTGCACATGTATATGTGGGATATGACCAGCAGACGCATAATTGACCAATGGGAATGTTGTTATAATTATTAAAATGGCAAATGAATATGGTTAACAACTCAGTGTTTGTTAACGAAATGGTATCCTTACAAGAGTAGAAATCTTAATTCATAAAAAAATGTTTATAATACAATTGCTTAAATATATCATGTATGCTACCAAGCTCTTACCAAATAACTGATTTCCTGGAATTTTAAAATCTGCAAGCTCAACAGTTTTATTGGAAAAAATGTGGCCTCATTTCACATCTACAAAGCTCAGTTCAGCACATAAAATCAGGATAGGATACAAGGATACAAAGGATACAAGGATAGGATACAAAAGTGATAGTTATTTTATTGAATTCACAATAGTTATAATTCTGAAATAATTTAAGGTTACACAATTCTAGTTATTAACAAATGTGTAGGGATAAAATAGAAATGTTTTATAATACTATTTTTCTATTAATAGATCGGATTTGTAGATTTCGATCTTATTTTGAGGTCCTATAGCATTATGCATTGGCCAGTATTTGAGTGGAAATCTGGGCTCTTATAGTAGGCTGTAAATTGTTCGTTCACAAAGAGAATTGAATGGATTGCTCTTGCTGTGGCAGTAAATTTTGTAGGGTCTAGTGTTTTATCGGATAGCAAACCGGCTAAGTCAGTAATATTTTTGGGATTGAAGTTAAAGGTGATTGTATTACTTGATCAAGTGCCACTCTTGTTCAGAATATAACATGGATTGATTATCAATTTTCAAAGATAGATTTTTGTTTAACCATTTCATTTTACTTCATCAGAGTTATGATCTGCTAAATTTCTAACTTCTAATTATACCATTAGGATGAACCGGTTACTACTCCTTTTGATCTTTGACTTGGTATCCGGTCAGCAGTACAGCAAGCACATTACCCCAATCGACTATGAGGTGCCACATGAACGTAAGTTGTTTATTTGTTATTTTTAGATCAAGGTGCAGGAGGAGTTTTTGATATATTTTATAAGGTTAAATTGTATGCATTATGGCGGATTATGGTTGGGACTAGATAAAGTTCGATTAGTTTTGAATTAGTTTTAGGTATGCTTATGAATTCATAGTTGTCTATGATACTTACAACTCAGGTCTGGTGTGTCATAATTTGTTTTACTGACACATTGAGCTGCTAGACTATTGGAAGCATCTCGTGGTTTCTAAATCTTGACCCTTCTCCGATTGAAAATGATATCCCGGAAAGTCTAAATTGAAATCATTTCCGCCAATTGAAAATGACATTCAAGAAAATTGTCACCGATTAAAAATTATTAAGCTGGCAATAAGTTGCTCGTAATGTTTTGCTTTTCAGGAGAGCAATTTCAATAGGATAAGTAGCGACATATTTTCACCGAAATTTTGACTATTGTAAGAAGTCATGATAATTGCCATCCGTCTAAGAATTCAAACATTTATTGTTATGAGCCTTTCATAAATATACAAATTCATGATCATTAATGCTCTTGATTCAATGCCAATAAGTTTTCATATTCCAAAGTGTTGCCATGGCATCTTGAATAAATTCTTCATTCGTGAATTCCAAACCTTTGCCAGCAGACATCTGCAATATGACCTAAATTCCTGAGGTACTGTGCCAAATTGTCCCAATTAATTAAGCTGTGCAATGTAAAAACCCGGTAAGAACGAGCAACATCACAGTGGCTTCATTTACTATAAATATTCGCCCTATCCTGTTTCTTGCCATATTTACCATTTACCCGGCCCTGGTTTCTACAAATATAGTGCAGGTAGCTCTCGTCCAATTGCAGAAATTACATCATCTTGAGTGTACCATAAACTAGTGGTAGGAGTGTAACAATTGTGGTATGGGAGTGATTTGTGTGTGTTTTCCTCGAATACTGAGCAATGAGGGGTAGAGGAGCACCTAACGAGCCCTATTACTCGACTTTTCTCCGATGTTATTTCCTGGTTTTACTAAGTTACATGTCGGGCCAGGTTTGAAGATAAATAATTGCTTCAACCATGGCGTGGTTAGTTAGTAACCGGGTCGTGAAGAGTTAATCTCATATTACAAGTTGATCAAATAATCATGACATAATGAAAATAATTTGATTTCTTAATCAATTATTGACGTAGCATAATATTATGCTGTAGTAGAATATTTGATTTATTTTATCTTCTGAAGTATTTGTCAGCATCATAAAGCCATATAAAATTACCTAATTACTATTCTACACCATATGAACTATGAAGCACGAGATCATTACTTTCCCAAAATTACAACCTTTTAAACTTCCTATAAATCAGAGCTATGATGACGTCTAGAAGTTGGCTGCTATGCCGATAAGCTTCAATTGAGTCTTGAATGCCTTCATTGTGGTTCAATTATCAAATATTCATTGTCTATTGTGGTAAAACAATAAGGCACGAATATCAAGTTATTTGTCAGATAACTAAGCAATTCTCATGCTTGATATATTTAAACCACGGAGTTAAATGTAATTAGACAAATAGCTTGGGATTCGTAGTCTACTAGTCTCAGTGACAGCTTCAGACCCTTACAGATCGGTTAAAAGCTAAACCGTATAATTTAAATATTAACAATGTACATCTTGTCGGCAGATCATAGCTTGATTGATATATATCCCGATTGCTCTGAAGGTAGATCGAGGTGGAGCCGTGATTCAAGTCACACCTAGAATAGATCATTTTAAACAGTTTGCATGTATGCCTAATTTGCAGAAAATGTTTTATTGATTATATACTCCAGACTTCGATATGTAATTACTACTATCGAGAACTGGATATATTTCAAGGAACGATAATGAATAGAATTATGGGATGTAAATTTAGGGAGTTAGCTGGTCTGATTATATACTGACAAAAGATGAATTATTAATTAGAACATTAATTTATCATAAACGTTTTCTGTTCTAACTTTTCAAATGGAAGGAAATTGTTAATTTCTGGTGTAATGCTATTAAATTTTTAAATTTGTCTGTCCGCTTTAACAATTAATCCTGGCCGCCGTCATCAACTCTCATGACAAATACAATTAATGTGACTATGAGAAAGTTTAGGACAGAAGAGTTTTGCTCGAATGTTTAGTCGTAATTATGAATGATTATTATCCGTACTCCACGAAGCGGCAAGTTCTTATAATATGTTACATATGTAAATATATTATCTTTATAGGTTTATACACCCAATCGATAATGAAATATAATATACAGGAAGTTTTAGGGCACACCGTATAACTGCGTAATTTATGATAGCAATGATCTAGAATTTCAGGGATAACGATTAATGCGAAATGATGTCATAAATCGGAAAAAATGAATAGATATCTGGATTCTGGCATGCTTGGACAAATTCAATGGCTTTTTGTGACGTCCCAAAGTCGGGATATGATTGATTAGCTAATCGCCAAATCGTTGTATCAATGATGATGAGCAATTCAGAATTAGACAACGTTTTAAAAATTCCCGGAGTCTGGAAAATAATTTTTGTTCAATGTATCAAGTTCCCCAAATCAATATAAGGGCGGGTAGCTACATACATTTAATTTCATTGCCATATAATGGTGTACGTGTGTAATCTGTAGTGAAGCCCCCCATACGTCCTACTCGTACATTAAAAGAGAGGAAAACCAAACTGACACACGTGCTCCCTAAATTATCAATTTCCTGTAATCCAATATAACCGATTATCTACTGAATCACACTGATAATGTACCAATACCGCAAATCTGGTGAATATCTTGACCACCCGGCTATCTTTCCCGGCCAGTACTCAGTTCAAGATAAAAAGTGTCACTCCCTGTTACAACACATGGTCCGTGCCCGTGGTAAGTCTTAGTTTCTCACGAACTTTCTCCCAAGCTACAGGATGTGAAATCTTGAATCTTCTCCGGGGATCTGTCAAAGGAGTGCCGTATCTGCTTTTCGTATCTTGGTTCTTTTGAACTGAAGATTGCCACGACAAACTTCCAGGAACTGCATGTCCATATTTGGATATCAAAGATGTATGGACAACTTTATCTTGAGTTCTGAAGTTAAAACTGAAAGTCTAGTAGATTCCAGATCTGTGTGGTTCGGTACATGGACTCAGGACTGGTACTTGATAAATCACGTGACATGATGATGTCTGACAGTGTTGTATTGCTCTTTTTGTAAGGACGTGACGTTTACATTGTACAACTACAAGGTACGACGGATTCTACCGAAAGGAGTGCATCTCTTATCATTCGTTTCCTCAGAGAAACGTTTCTTCTGGAATCATCCTAATGAAGTCATAAGTGTACTCACAAGAGCTAGGTAAAGTGTTGGCGATTCGGCGCCAAATATCTTAGGACTTAGTCTACTGGTTTTAATCAGCCCATTCAATTATATTCATATGGGAATGTAAAAATCGATAATTTTTTTATGAAGGAGCAAATTTTGAAAGGTGAATTGCTATCAGTTCATAAACGTTACAAATTTCATTCTTGCCTCTCATTTGATTCTAACTCATAATTTGGTTGATTTTTGGCAGTTTTCCAAAAATTCGTAAATTCGTCCTAATGGGGTTCTCAAATCGCGTGCCCTGAAAATCGAGTCTAAAAATCTATCTTCTTCTACATTTTTTGAGCAATCACCCTGAAACTTTCATGTCAGGATATGTTTTAGGGATCATTTAGAAGATATGAGCCGGACAGAATTTTGAGAGAGGCCTTTAAAAAAATTTTATTCGATTTTGAAAATCGTGGACCTCGAAAAACCATCAAAAAACGAGGTCCAAGATTTTAAAAATCGAATAAAAAATGTTTAAAGGCCTATCTCAAAATGTTGTCGGGCTCATCTCTTCTAAATGATCCCTAGAACATATCCTGAAAGTTTCAGGGTGATTTCTCAAAAAATGTATGAGAAGATAGATTTTTAGACTCGATTTTCAGGGCACGCGATCAAAAATCGCTCGCGCAATACAATTACCACACACGCGCTGACCTTTGACCGGCATTAATTTCGGCTAGGAACGATATTTTTCCACGGGATCAAAAGCATCTGATAGATATTGCTCCCCTCTATCAGAAACAACTAAAAAGTCGATTTTGAGAACATTTCCACGAAGACCCCCCCGCCCCCTTAATACAGTCAAGTCGGCTATAGACAATTGTCTTACACGTTATCAACATGTCCTATCAACAATAAAGGACAATGGGTTGAGCAAATTAATACTTATTAAGTATTTTTATTGCATTATTATAATATTTAAATATTTTCATTACCTAAATATGCAAAAATTAAGTGGAAATTTCATTTGTCAAAAAAATTAGAGCCATTTACTTTCTACACACTATTTTCAACTCACCCTGTAATTGGGAAGCCTGGGTTATTAGGGTCGTTTATAAAAACCTAGTAGAGACGAGAGATCAAAACCACAGTTCTTCTCGTGTAGATTCTGTAGAAATTTGTATGTTGGTAACCTCGGCAATCGGCATTTCTAACCGAATCATACCTCCTTATTCAGGAGCTGAAATTAATTTAAACCAGGACTCAAGGTTGCATGTCGAGGTTGACCGAGCCCGGGATTAATGGGATTATATCGGGCAATAAGGCGGGGAGGGAGCATTGAGACAAACCTTACTTTGACAATACTCTATTATCACTACACCGCCTACTAGCTGCTTCAATCTTGTAGTTACTGATCAGATCAGACTGATGTCATGATACATAATACTCTCAGTACAAGAAGGTTTATTACATCACTTTGTACTAGTTCTATAGAATGTGAACAAAGTAGCTGAGGATCTGTTCAGGAGCACTGAGCAGGTGCTCAAAGACAATATTGTAGGGGGCTGCCTTCTTCACTCCTTCTTGTGGAGTGTCTGTGTGTGTGTGTGTGTGTGTATGTGTGTGTTTGTGTCTGTGTGTGTGCTAAAAGTGCGCATGATGTTAACATATCTGGCTG